CAAACTCCAGAAATCTCACTGTCACTCTTCTCTCCCAACTCTCTTGAACCAATGTCTTCTATTCCATTCTCGAACCAAAGGGTTTAGTGCAATATTTCAATCGATCTCTCAAGTTCTGTCAAACAAGCATAAAGTGAATTCTCAAACTCAGAGAATCCCCAATGGAGCGCTTCTCAAAGATAAAAAGATGGAAGTAGCACTTCTGTCTGCGAAGGCCCAAATTGTGAAAAGTTCCGACAACTCCTACCGAATTGAAATTTTGGATTCTCTAGTTCAGGGCCTCTGTGTGACAGAACCTGAAATTGCGTGTTCTGTTCTGCGGTATTGTTTGAGAATTGACGGTATTATGCCTTCTTCTAGTACTATTTACCTGTTGCTCTATCGTCTTTGCTCTCTTGGAATGATCGATGGGGCTATTCAGGCGTTAGAGCTGATGAGTGATAAGAGAATGAAGTACCCTTTTGATAATTTTGTGTGTAGTTTTGTAATTTGTGCTTTTATATGCTTTGGCAAGCCTGAACTTGCTGTAAGATTCTATGATAATGCTGTAAACTCGGGTTCTTTGAAGCCTAATGTTTACACTTGTACTTCTGTAATGAGTGCATACTGTAGATTGGGTAGAATTAGTGACGTCTGGAGTTTGGTCGAAGTGATGGGGATAGATGGCTTAGCCCCTGATGTTGTGTTTTACAGTAACTGGATGTATGGGTACTTTAGGGAAGGAAGGGTTCAGGATGCTCTAGAGAGATACACAAAAATGGTTGAGGGAAACATTACATTGGACACAGTCAGTTATACAATACTTATAGATGGGTTTTCAAAGGAAGGGTTGGTGGAGAAAGCAGTAGGGTTCTTGTACAAGATGAGAAAGGATGGTTTAAATCCCAATTTGGTCACTTATACTGCAGTTTTGCAAGGATTTTGCATGAAGGGAAAATTGGATGAGGCATTTTCAGTGCTCAAGTTGGTTGAAAATCAAGGGTTTCAAATGGATGAGTTTCCCTATGTTATTCTTATTGATAGGGTGTGTAGGGAAGGTGATTTTCACGGTGCTTTTGAGCTGCTAGGTGAAATGGAAAAGAAGGGTGTAAAGCCCGGTGTTGTTACATATAATGCCATTATCAATGGATTGTGCAAAGCAGGAAGGACAAGTGATGCTGATGATCTGTCTAAGGGCATAGTAGGTGATGTTATTACATACAGTACATTGTTACATGGGTACATCCGAGAGGGGAATCTCATGGGGATATTAGAGACCAGAAGGAGACTGCAGGCAGCTGATGTATGCCTAGATGTTGTCATGTGCAATGTGTTGATTAAAGGATTGTTTATGATGGGTTTACTTGAGGATGCCCGTTCTGTGTATGAAGGAATGCAAGATTCAGGTTTGGAGGCAGATGTTGGTACTTACTCCACCATGATTTATGGATATTGCAAGGCTGACCGGATAGATCTTGCACTTGAGATATTTGATGAATCTCGGACGAAATGTACTTCTTCAGCAGTATGCCACAACTGCATTATACATTGGCTATTGAAAAAGGGTTTGGTAGAAATGGCAGTTGAGGTTTTCATAGAAATGATAGAAAGAAATTTTGACCTAAACACCACATCTTACATGATGGTCATTAAGACGATATTTCAAGACAAAGGTGCCGAAGGAGTTTTAGAATTAGTTCAAAGATTGGGAAAAGTTGCTCATGATATATCTGGTCCAATATCTAATGATGCATTAATTTTTCTATGCAAGAGGGGTGCATCGCAGGCTGCATGCAATGGGTTAGTAGAATTAGAGAGAAGAGGATCAACTGTGAGAAGCAAGTCTTACTATCTAATTCTGAAAGCACTTCTTCATGATGGAAAATTTTTCTTAAGTCACCAAATTTTGACAAGTTTCATAAAAAGGTATGGAATTTTTAATCTCGACGTAAACAAGATAATCGTGTATTTCTTGTGCATGGGTGATGTAAATCATGCCATTAGCTTTCTTTCTAAGGACTCAGTCACTGTTGGGTTTCCTGTAGCAGTTTTAAAGGCCCTGACAAAATATGGCAAGGTTATTGATGCTTATAGGCTTATAACTGAAGCAGGAAATAGTCTACCAGCCATGGACGCGGTTGATTATACAATTGTGATTGATGGCCTTTGCAAAGGAGGTCAAGTTCTCCGGGCACTACATCTTTGTGATTTTGCTAAGAGCAAGGGTGTTACTCTTAGTGTTGTCACATACAACTGCATTATAAATGGGCTATGCCATCAAGGTTTTCTTCTTGACGCATTTCGGCTGTTTGATTCCCTGGAGAAGACTAATATTTATCCTTCAGAAATCACATATGGGACACTCATTGCTACTTTATCAAAAGTTGGCCTTGTACAAGATTGCATTATGTTGCTTGAGAAGATGTTGCTCAAGAACATTCCCATAAATATCCATATTTATAACTCCATAATTAGTGGGTATATTAAACTAGGTGAGTTACAGAAAGCTGTGGAGCTTCTCCGTGACGTGGAAACAAATGGTTTCAAACCAGATGAATTTACAGTCAGTGCAGTTATTAATGGATACAGCCAGAAAGGTGACATGGAAGGAGCTCTTAGTTTTTTTGCTGAATTTAAAGATAAAAACATATTACCTGATTATTTAGGTTATATGTACTTGATTAGAGGGCTATGTGCTAAGGGAAGGATGGAAGAATCTAGAAGCATTTTAAGAGAAATGCTTCAAAGTGAACATGTGAGCAATATACTTGACAGAGTGGATGCTGGAACTGAAGCTGAGTCTGTACAAAGTATTATTTCTTTGTTGTGTGAACAAGGAAGCATCCGCGAGGCTGTGAATATTCTTGACAAAATTGGATGCATGCATTTTCATTTTGAGAGGGAATGTACTGCATTTAATATATCAGAAAGGCTAAATGAGCCTTATGCTAGGAAAGCTTTGGAGACCATTGAATTCAAGAATAATGTTTTGGAAAGAAAATCGTGCAGCGAAGGGGAATTAGAAACAGATTTTGAAAATGATTCGCGCTCAGATCGGAGTACTATCTTCCATCCGGAGAACTTCGATGCTTTCTATTCTTTGATTGCGTTGCATTGTTCTAAGGGGGAGTTCAGTAAAGCAAATGTACTTGCAAAAAGCATCATGAGTTCCTCGTAGGAAATTTATACTTACAGCAAAATGTATTGTCTACCTTTGCTAGGCCACAAGTATTGGCACTTCGTCTGTTGCACAAACGTGGCAGGTATGATGATATGTTGATATGTGCTCTTTTCGAGATTTGTTCAGTTTTCTTATCCTTTAATAAGTTTTCTACTAATTTATGAATGACTTTTATAATCGATAATAATAGGCTCCATTATGATCCTTTTGTTTAGCTAATCAGTTTCATTTATACTTGGCTAATTTTTAGCCTAGCAAAGTGAAATACATTCTGTGTTTCTACACATGCCATTACGTACGCCATTGGCAGATTTCCTTTGTTACATTATTCATACTTTTATTTTCTTCAGGAAATGCTAGCTACATGTATACCACACACTAACACGGAAAGTTTTGAACTATGCACCCAAATCTTGTATGTTTTAAAATTGTCCATGTAGTTTACAGTTGTCTATTTTAGTAAAATTCTAACTGTAGTACAAAATTTTGTCTGTTGTGTACCATAAGCATTTTCCTATTTTTCTCATGCTAGGTTGGAACTCTTTTCTCTAAGTAAATCTTTCTCTTAAAAAACATTTATGTAACCTACTTTCTGGAAATTATTGACATTGTTTTTTGACGCCAGGCTATCATGACTCGTGAGCACACTTTTGTTAATTTCTGGATTTTCCTTCAAACCAAATCAACCGCTACAAGTTCAGAGCATTCAACGTAGGAAACAGCAGACAGAATGTTCCTAGAGCAATCTAGAGAGACTTGTGGTCTATGGAGAGTTACAAATTTGCACAAAGCAAGACACATACATCCATAAAGGAAGACAAAGATAAAAGCAGCAGCAGACCCACAAAAACAAAGCAACAAACAAGAGGCTAGCTAAGCACACCAGAAACAAACCATTCTTAAAATAAAAGAGCAAAGAACAATATAAAGCTAAATCTTTGTGACCAGAGCTGCTAGGATGAGAGGTGGAAGAAGGTTGAGGAAGAACTAGGGGGGCGCTAGAGGAATGCCGGATAGAAGCGCTTGACTTCGGGAGAGGCTTTGGCTCTTAAAAATATATCTCCATTTCAGGTTAATGGTAATGCTCCATGAGCTCTCTTTTGAGTTTTGAGAAAATGGAGTGTACCATTTTGTATTAGTACTAGTTTCTACTTTCTAGGCGGTAAGAATGAGATTTATCATTGGGTCCATAGTGTTAAGAACTGGACCGGACCGGCCGGTTCAGACCGTGAACCGGAGAAGCGATGGTCCTATCGGTCCAATCCAGCCTCTTGGACAGCAATCTGCTTCGAGTCATTACAAACCGCTGTGAACCAGTAAAAACTGGCCGGTCGGACAATATTTTTTTTGTGATTTTTTCCCAAAAACATATCCCATGGGGATTCAAACCCAAAGTCTCTTAGAAATCAAGTTAAGTTCAAAACCATCCAACCTAGAGTGTTTTCGTGTTACAAGTTCACTTAATATTTTTTAATATTCCGTATTTAAAAAAGATATTGTATAAAGATTTCTTTTCATTTTAAACATTAAAACATATAATATTATAGCTATGATTCAAACTCAAAATCACTGATATAATTGATACTATTACAAAATGCATATTATGCAAAGATTTCATTTGCATGTTTTAATATTAGACAATTTATTTGAAAAAAAATAAAATTAACTCTTCGTTTATAAAATTTTTAATATTGTTTTAAAATATGTTAGTAATTTTATTTCTAAACTTAGTAACATAACTCTAGTAAATTAATACTCCGTATAATTTTGGTCAAATATTATAAATTATTTACTCTAGGTATTTATAAATGAGGGAGTGCGTGTATGTATATATGTGTGAATATATATATATATATATATATATATATATATACACACACACACACACACAAACTCCCTCCATCCACAAATAAACTTGTCGTTCACTATTTACAGGGTCAAACTTTATTCACTTTGTGAACTTATTTTCGTCACCCATTTGATAAAATAATATAGTCATGACACCTCTAGTTTTGTAGATCTTTTGATATAGTTTTTTAATATGTAATTTTAATTTTTAAATTTTACACCATTTTTCATATAAAATGATTTGAAAAGAACTTTAGTCAAACATCGTAACGTGCAACGGAAAGTTTATTTGTGGACCGAAGGATCCCTTGCATCCACGCGAATCTTCTTTAGTTCCCTAACGGGGTTTTCCATAGTTCCCCTACGCCTCTCTCTCAGCTCCCTGGTTAGGAGATGTCGCTCGCCTTCGTTACCTTGGATAAGAACGAGCTCCAGAAGTTGCCGAGATGAGATATGGGTCCTCAGATCTTCATGTCTAGATGAATAACCGTCGTCCAGGACCTGATCAAAAGCCAACACCCGCGATTTCTTGGGCTTCTGGCCCTCCAGCCTCTATCGAAGGTTGAGATTCATTCGAACCAGGAGGATTCATCCTCCTAGGTTTTATTGTGTTCTCCACGTTCGTCGTGGTTTGTCTCAAGCGCATTCTCTCAATGGAAGGGCCAATTTGATGAAAATGAAGTCCACTTGATGATCTGACCCGAATTGCTAGATCAAATTGACAATGAAAAAAAGTAATGAATAAAGGAGTAAAAGCTTGAGAAGATGACAATGGTGGCTTGGTATTATATTGGTGAATTAAGTGTGCCTTTGACATTGAATCCATCCCCTATTCGTAGGTACGTACCCCATTAGGGATGCACGATGAAGAAGATAAACATGGAAGGTTTAATCTAGGCCCTGGTCTTCCTCCGCAATTGCAATGACAACTGTAATCTTCTCTAAAGATCACAACAACTGCACGCAATCAACACGATCCTTTCGAAGCGAGGCCCTCGAGTGCAGCATTGCTGCTACCCAGCTATCATCTTCTTCGAAATTTGACTTTTTTCTTTTCGCCCTTAGTAAAACGACGTCGTTTTAGGTGGGGTTTTTTTAAATTAGAGCTCTAAATATCGTTGTTTAGGGCTACGTAAAAAAATTATTGAATTCATTTGTTGCCTTCTTTGTACGCGGTATGAATCATGAACCACGGTTTAGCGCCTCAACTTGGTCTTCTTGCTCTGCAGTTTAGTGCCTCAACTCCAATCAATCAGCATTTTCAGCCATCAAGTGTCGTTGCCCGCCCATAGTTTTGAAAACTAGACCGGGCTTGCCGGTTCACACTGAGAACCGGCAAACCAGAGGTCGAACCAGCCCGGTCCAGTCCATTGAACTGCATCGTGTTGTGAACCAGTTCAAACTAGTGTGAACCGGTAATAATCGACCGGTCGTATTGGCCAAACTAGTTTTATTTTCTTTTTTCCTTTGTTAAAACATTGAGCGAAAATATATACCACCGCTAGGATTCTAACCTTAGTCCCCTTATATATCATGTCAAGATATCCACCAACTAAGCATGAATGTTTTTTTATTCAAAGTAGTATATACTTTGTAACTAAAAGAATAAATATTTATGAAAATATGTATCACGAAAAAATATATATTTGAATATTTCGAAAAATATTAGACAAAATATATGAACAAATAAAGACATCTCTTATTTTATAAGGAGTAGAACTTTTCATGTACTATGTAATACACACACACACAGATATATATATATATATATATATATATATATATATATATATATATATATATATATATATATATATATATATATATATATATATATATTGGAAACTTGTAATCTTAAACTAACAAATATGACACCAATACGTGACACCAGTAATTTTGGGATACCTAAGGTGCTCTGTTCGTAAAATTGGTGATTCCTACCCCCTATCTCCCTCCCTAAACCCTCATGACCCATCAATTTCACCCTGACCCCACCCCAGCCCCCTGCACCCCCCTAGATCACCGATATACTTATTTTTAAGCCAATTTTTTTATTTCTCCGTTTTGACCAAATTATTTACAAAGTTGTCCCTCACTATTTATAAATATTTTCAAATGACTTATTTATTATTTAAGCCATTTTACTTCCATGAAAAATATCTCATAAGCAACTTATAAGTTAAAAATTACTTATCAGTAATAAGCCAATAAGCACTCGCACAGAAAAACATTTTCTATATATTTGTGTTTTTGACAAGGGATCTTGTTGTGATCACTCAATGATCTCAAGGTCTCATTATTTAAATGAATGCCTGTATTGATGAATGACCATTTTTTCGATCAAAATTACTCCCTCCGTCCCTCTGTATTTGTCCACTTTCATTTTTGCACACCATCCAATTCAATTCTTTAATGCATTTTATCTTGTAATTTGTATATTAAAAAATTATAAAAATTAAATATTAATAATCTATATGTTAAGACAAATCAAACAAGATCACACATGACTATATTTAGGCTTACACAATGAGAGAATTTGATGAGTCAAAGTGCTTAGATGAACAGTTCCAAAAGTCAAATGTAAACAAATACAGGGGGACGGAGGGAGTAGTAAATTTTAACTTAAAATTAAATGAAAATAATATTAGATGTTAATACAAAAATAATTTTATTAGATTTATTATACCAAATATTTTCAAGATATGAAGTATTATTTTATCTAATTAATATACAATACATATTTTATATAATTATAGGTCAAAGGTTGAAAACGATTGATTGAAAAAAAATCAAAACTGAACAAAATACTCAAGGACGGAGGTAGTAATTAGCTTTTTTTAAACCATTTTGAAACACTTTTTTATAAACTGAATAGTGTGGTGCAATCAAGCGTAGACACTTCATAATATATTCCATTTCAGGAATTTAGAAATATGTTTTTTTCATGTGAGGGAAATCATCCAAAGAACTTACTTGAGTTGCCCTCAACTTCAACAGTTCAACCAACCCACCTTTGCTCAAGGACCAAAATTGATTACCATATGAATTTTAACACAGAAAACAGTTTTCTTCCAATGAGGCACCCCCCCCCCCCCCCATTAAGCCAGTCAACATGTAATTTACATTCACTTAAACTACTAGCAGATAATAAATAGATTAAATACGGAGCAATCCCAGGATCAGAGTTACACTACGCTCCCTCTGTATTATCTTCACACTGCTTATTTTCCTCCCATTTCTTGAGTAGATCAGCATACCCTTCTGCTGAAACAGTTGCAAACTCTGTCAGTGCACCGACCGAAACAGACATCCCTGAACAAACCACTCTATTGGCAGCACCAATGAATGCTTCTTCTTCTTCTTCCTCCACATGATCAACTTTCCCAGCTTCACTACTACTATTAGAATAATCTCCTCCTCCTCTCAGATGTTTCTGGCATAGAGAGACAAGGCCTTCCACGAAGAAGTCTATTCCATCAAGCACCGGGTCTTCGTTGATGGAGTCCAGCAGCCTTGACCATTGGACACAAATGTTGAACGCCGGTTGAGCTGCCACAAACCTGGAGCCTGGAGAAAACGACTGTTTCGGCGTGGTGGGATTTGCATTTAGACAACATAGAAGCCACCCCGTTAGGGCGTGCAAGTATGACCGTTGAGAAACAATCCATGTTTCGAAACAGGCACGCCAGTTCCTTAGCTCAGTCTCAAGGTTAACCACCTGGTGTGGCTCAAAGGAGGTGGGTGCTCTGGAATAACTCTTAGCTGCAGAATTCTTAGCTTCTTCAAGAATATGTTTCTGCAATTGATGGCTGTCTGCCATCACCTTCCACATTTTACCTAGCCTGGAGATTGAAGAATGGAAATTGATTTGATTGACCAATGGTAGCCAAGGAGATTCTAAATGGGGAACAATAATATACTGGAAAAGAAAATGCATTTTTGCATACCCTTGCATCAGTTGTAAAAGCTGAGGTTGAAGCTCCTCATCCTTGAGAATCTCAATCCTTTTCGAAATAGTTTCTACAGTGTGCATTGAGACTTTGATGTGGGCTACCAAATCCCCTATAGCTGATCTTGTTCTATTAATAGAAGGAAGACTAGCCTTGTTCTCTTCCAGATTTTTGAGTTGTATGCACTTCTTTTCATATGCTAACCGCATACGTGCACCTGCCTGAGTACACACAAAAACTATCAGTCACAATCTAAATTGCCAACTTCATTTTGTGCAACATTATAAATGCTTTACATCTCTTTCAAATATATATTGAACCATAGCAAAGTCTTTCAATTGAATACATAAGGTATGCCTTTACAACAACAATAACCCTTTGAAATGCTTCAAACTTTTTTATTATGAAATGCTATATAGGACTTCATGTAAGCTCATATGACTCATTTTGTTCCTTTTTTCTTCACACACTAATTAAAAGAAAAGGGGAGGGGAAGGGGGGCATTAGTCATACTTTGACTTCCTCGTAAAGTTTCTTCTCCCAGAGATGCATTTTGTCCAAGGTTGACTGATGACTATAACAAAACCTGGAGTCATCAGATAAGTCGCTGTTGCTCGCATAATTATTGCCATCTATAATCAACAGATTTACCAAAAGAATTAGATGAACTTGTCCTTGAAGATCCAAAGCCCAGCAAGGACACTGGATTCAACAGCTTTGTTGCTTTAAAAGAAATTTAAAACAGAAAACCAGTTACTGAATTTCAATTGTTTCAGCACAGTGCAAGAGCATGAGGCTAAAGAACCTGAAACAAGAAACTTGATGATACTTCATTTATGTGTCTAGACAGCATCTTACACCGATTTTATGGAATTGGAAAAAAGTTTGTTTCCAAGTGCACTTGTCCACATTACATATGAAGCATGAAAGTAAAATATTTCATCAGCTTTAGAAATTTTGTAAGTGTTAAAATCTGGTATTGTTTAAAGAAGACTTTGTTATTGAAAACATGGCTAACTTACTAAACTACCGATGATTTGAATGATTGGTTTTTCAGTTTTAAAAGGTTGTAGAAAAACTGGAATGTCTATTAGTCTTTGTACAAAAACTGGAATGTCTATTAGTCTTAATACAAAAACTGCATACGTATAAATAATGATCAAACACAAAGTAAAAGCTACAACTGCAACAATTGCCAACAAGTATAAAACTCCAAACGCGAAAAAGAAGAAAAAACAGTTGTAAGCTTACATGTAAAATCATTTGAGATTGATGAATTATGAGCCTTAGTAGCATCCAACATAGCTGACACCTCTTTAGCCGCATTACAAGCAATTCTAAACTGAGCATCAAGATCCTTAACAGCTTCTTCCATGTGTGTTGGTCCTGTATTGACATACACTGTAAATCCTGGAATTTGCTTCTTTGCTTCTTCACAATCAGCCATTGTGGGTTGTCTGCTACCGAGCCGGTTGTCAATTTGAGTCTTTGACACTGATGTATTGTTATTATTATTATTATCATCATCAAGTTGAAAATCTGGGGCAATGTTATCCTTGATTGCGTGACCCTCGCTGTCATTGACATTTACATCTCCAGCATCAGTGTCTTCTTCATTGAAGCTTTTAGGGCGCTGACTAGTCTTTACATTTAGATTTTCCTTACAGCCAATATGTTCTGCTAAACCATGGATGATTTCTCCCTTTTGAACTTTGCTTACCCCATCATTTCCATCCAAAATGGTCTGATCCAGGCCGCTTGTCACGGGGTAACCGTAGTAATCTAGTGACGTGAACGGGTCCCAGAACGAATCCCAATGGGTGCTTTGGGTTAGACTTGAGGATAAATTAGGAGAGGATTGAGGAAACGAAGAACTCATTGGCACAGAGTGCATGGCGAAAAAGCCATCCACCCCATACCGATGGGCAGGGGAATAAGCCTCAACCCTGACAGCTTCAGGTGATTGAGGTTTCTCCTCCACCGTAACACAAGGACTCAGGCCGCCTGACTTTGAGTAATTCAACTTCAAAGCACAACTCTTATCGGATCCCAATTCCCCTCTCTCGGCATAGGATTTGGGGGTTAGAGAGATGAACCCAGAGTTTATTTTCTTGACAGGAGTGAAAGTTGGTGTTGTGAATGCATCAAGTAAGATGCCATTGTACCCTTCTCCTTCAACGTAGTCACAAAGAGCAGACGAGACTCTCCCCATGGACTCAATATAGGCAACGTGGCCCGAAGCAAACCGCGATCTACACTGAACTGCTTGTTCAATGAGCATCTTCCTATTTTTACATAGCTGGACTGCTTCTAGGCTATCAATCTTCGATGGCGCACAGCCCATTTTTTGAATGTGTTTTCAACCACTCTTCAAACAGATTCGAACTGTTTGAGACAATCAATAAATATCTGAAATTATATTCCCAAAGCAAATAATGCACATAAAAAAACACAAATGAGAACTAGGGCTTTGCGCAAGTTCTTGGACTGTTTTCCCCTTAAATCTCAACCGTTCATCACTATGGAAGAATCTCGAAACAATAAGGAATTTTTAGTTCATAGATCGAAGTAAAATTAAAGATGGAATGCAGTTACAAAGCTTCAAAAAAGATGGAACACTATATATATATTTACTGCTCGATAAAAAATTCTGCAACTACAAATGAAGTAAGAAATGGAACTTCAACACCGAAAAAGAGAGTAATTGACATAAACAGAAATGGGCGACAAAAAATCAAACGGGCAAATGGGCGACAGGACATTTCATCAAGCAAAATCATACGAGTAAACAAAGTTCATCAAGTGAGACTTTACTCACTTGCAGGAAGAAGAAGAGAGCGTACTTTACTTACTGGTGACCAGAATGCGACGTTGGGAATCCAAGTGACAGCTCCTTTTGATTCACGATGCTAGAGAGAGAGAAGTGTAACGGTCAGAACAGATTTAAAGCTTGCATAGGAGGAGAAAATTCTTAAAATATTGGTTTAAATACGGAGTACTCCTACGTTCCTTTTCTAGTACTTGACCAAAGACTGAGAAATTTATTTAAATAAGACTAAAATACAATGACTTTCTTAATATATGATCATATGTTTTTATTTTCTAGTGTAGGACTTTTGGTTATGATCAATTAGTAATTATTCAACTAAATGTCCATCATTACTGGACATTATTTCTCTTTCTAGACAATATTAAGTCCTACTTAAGGAATAAAAAAGTTTTAAGTCCTAAATTGGGAAATGACTTATAGTTTAGTCCTATTTAGTGCAAATTTCACCCAAAAATATTTCTTACAATATATTAGTAAAAAATTATTAAAAATAGTACATTAACACCTGGTTCAATGAATTTGATAGGGAAAGAAAAAGAAAATGAGAAAGAAAATATTTTTCTTATTTGGTTAGAGAAGAAAAGAAAAGGGGAAAGAAACGAAAATAAGAAGGCAAAATGTACTATGAGAATGAAAATCCAAATTCCTTCTGTTTTGGCGAATAAACTAAAGGAAAATCATTTTATTTTCTTTTTCTTCCAAATTTCTTGAACTAAACATAGTGTAAAAGTATTTTTCCAAATCATTATGATACGCCAAGTTAGTGAGAGCTCGAACCCAAGCGTTTGCCAATTGCCACACGTTTGCCGTTTGGCTAGAGAGAGAATCGAGAAGAGGGGAAGAGAGAGTTTAGAGTTTAGAAGAAAAGGAATATTAGGATGGAAGGAAGGAATATTATTAATGCTAAAGAGAAAAGGTTTAAATCTCTCTTTTTATAAGAAGAAAGGATCCCCGACCATAACTAACTAATTGTCTACCATGTCGATCAAAAAAGGCAATGAGGAGAACTGAAAAAGAAACAGTCGAAAGAACTTATGATCTTTATCCTAAGAAAACCCAGCTCTAATTCACAATTGAAGAAAAATAAATAAATAATGTTAAACGTAATCAGATATCGACATGGTGGCTTGATATTCCTTCGAGAACGACCTGGTCTATTTGTCCGATCCTGGGCACCTTTGGTGGATCAATATCAATCCCTTCGGGGTTAAAATTGTTGTCCTCAAGGCAAATATTCAGAAAATAACGCAATAGTTCCTTGGTCGGCTCCGACGTGAATTCCGTCCACCGCATTAAACCACCGAACTAACCATTGGTCTTGAGGGTTACTGTCCACAAGAACTGTGCGACTTTATATGGCGGGGACGAGCACGAAAACTTGGCGCCCCTTGAAAAAACGGTATGGAAAAGTCGGGAGTGGGATATCGGCCGCACGTTTTACAAATGGGCATAACAAAGAGACATGGAATACATCGTGAATATGACATCCCTCGGGTAAGCGCAAGTGATATGCAACCGCCCCCACTCGCTCAAGTAATTCAAAAGGATCCTTGTAGCGATGTACTAGCTTAGCCGAGAGAGGGCATGCGGCGGAGTGTTGGTGGTAAGGTTGGAGCTTCAAGAACACCAAGTCCTCGATCATGTAGAAAACATACCGTCGGTGCTAGTTTGCTCGACCATGCATACGGTGTTGCATTTTAGTCAGGTGGGCCTTCAAATCATTCAATAAATCTAATCGCTCGTGTAGCGCTTCCTCAACCTCCAATACGCAAACAGGAACAAAAAGTGTGAGGAACAAAATAAGAGGTTCTCATTCGTATAAAGCCTGAAAAGGGGACATCCTAATCCCTTCGTGATGGCTACAGTTCAAGGCAAATTCAACCCACGGAAGGAACACAACCCATTTTGATGACCTCTCATGAGTGAAAGCACGAAGGTATTGTTCAAGGCCGTGATAAATAGCTTCTGTCTGGTCATCTATCTATGGGCGATATGCCATAAAAAGATTGAGCGACGTCCCACTCAAGCGCAACGACTCCTTTCTGAATATGCTTATAAAAAATGAGTCCAAATAAGAGATAATACTCTATGAAAAGCCATGGTGTTTCCCCACAACGACAATGAAGAGGCGTGAAAGCCGCAAGCATCAAACCCGATTGGAAGGGCTCCAAAGTGAGTGTATTTGCTTAGTTAGTCCTCGTCCACCATAATAACTATGAATCCTTGTGAAGACGACAACCATGTTATAAAATCCTTAAGAGGCCAGGTCCCAAACTTTATCCGCTATTGGCAGCGGCTAGAGAAGGCCAACGAGTTTCTGAGTTGAGTACTTTGTGATTTGGTAGACTTCACAAGATGCAACAAATTGACGAACCTTGTGGCGCACGATAGGCCAATAGAAAATAGTCGCAATTTGGTAGAATGCACGCTCCACCCCCTGGTGACCTACGACTAGAGTGTTGTGGAACTCGTTGAGAATCTTCTCAGGCAATGGGGAATCTGAGCTAATGTAAATGCGATGTATGTAATATAGCAGACCCTTGTGGAGGGAAATACGGACCGGCGCAATTCTAGTTGTTACCACTGTATGTAGGTGTAAAATATTGGGAAGAGTGACATTCTCTGTTCTTATAGCTTCTAGGAGGAGTGGCATGGGCTGATCATATACGGAAAACTTCCCCGCTAGGCCATTGTTGTCACGTCGTGATAAAGCATTAGCTGCATGATTTGAGGCCCTTGACTTGTATTCAATCCAGAACTTAAGCTCGGTCAACTATCGAATGTAAAATTGTTGGTCTAGGGTTTGAATGACTTGCAATAATAACTCTTTGAGATTGCATTGATCACTCCTAATAACTAACTCTCGACCCAACAGGTATTCACACCTTTTTTGCACTACTTCGAAGATAGGGTGCATTTCTTCGTCAATGCATAAACTTTACAATTTGAAGAATGGTGGTAGCCCCTACAATTTCTTCTCTCAAAGCTCTGGGTAAAACAGGAAGGATTTGCCAAAAATGACATTCAAGTACAACTATTTTCCTTCCAAATGGTTCATTTCTAGAGTTTTAAGTATAGACACTCTTTACATTTCTCACTGTCCAATCCAATTTCTTAAAAGCAAATTTGTTCATTATACATGCTTCATCCCAAATGATTAGACTTGCTTGTTGGATTAGTTCTGTTTTCGGGCTCCCTTGTTTGATGGAACACGTTGAGCACTCAGTTAGCACGAGAGAGATTGAGAATCTTGAGTGTGATGTTCGTCATCTAGGCAAAAGCAATGCTGCAATGCCACTGGATGCTCCCAAATACAAACTGACCATTCAGCTCGATTTTTTATCTTGAATGTTCCCAAATACAAACTGACCATTCGGCTCGATTTTTTTATTTTTATGATTATTCTTTTTATTTATGAGTAAATTCTGTAATTTGTTCTTTAGCATAGAGTTTTCTATATTTAGTCTTCTATTATCAAATATTAAATCCATGGTTCTACTTTTGTGAGTATCTTTCCAAGATAATCATTTTTTTTACATTCTATCAGGTTGATGATAAATTGATGACTAAAGGTATAACTTTACATCGACACTATATCTAGTGATGTATTTTGATTCGGCTTTACGGGCAAGTGAACTAAGATTTTGACCAGATGCGACATTTGTAGACTATGGTGGGATTAGACAGCGACTTCAGTTGACAAACAATACATGAGCAATGACATCTAGCATTGGCTACGACAGAAAGGATATATGATCGTTAAGTTACACATTTCGCCCTCAATTTAATGCCAATATGACATAAGATCAAAAAAAGATTATGTGTGAAAAGGTATGCATAAAAGAAGAACCACGAACATAAAATTTAATATAAGAGAATTAAATATGAAAAACTCTTTGTTATAATTCTAAAAGATTTATTATTAAATATACCCTTTATTTTTCGAAGAATTTTGAAATTGGTTCGGTAATTGCCTATCTCTTACCACTAAGAACAAGTCATGGATCCACGTTTTGGAGGATCAACCAGAGATTGGGCCGGGCCGGGCCGGAATGAACAAAGAGAGGAATTCGTTCTGAAATCGAAGCCCTACAAGGAGTAATATGTCATTCTCAAGTACCTAGGGCTTTCTCACCCCGCCTTACAAAACCTAGTACACTAACAAAGAGCCCCCATTCTTCAGCCCCCCAATTCGAGATTGGCGAGAGAGAAAATGGGAGTGTTTACTTTCATCTGCAGATCTTCCGGCGGCGAGTGGACTGCTAAGCAGCTCAAGGGAGATTTGGGAGCATCCGCCGACTCCACATACGAGCTACAGCGGAAGCTTGTCCAAACCGCTCTAGCAGAAGACGGCTCCGGCGGCGTCCAGTCATCCTTCTCCTACGTCTGCCCTAGCTCCGCCGTTTTCCAGGTTATTCATACATATCACTTAAATCGCATTGATATAATCTAATCTTGCAATTTTCGATGTTCTGTATGAATCAGATCTGTATTTTAACCTTCTGTTGCTTGATGTGTTCTGTGCGTATTTCTCTTTCGCCTCGGATTTCTGAATTATATGCAATTTCATAGAAACGTTACTATTCTTTGGCTGATTTACATTCTTAGAGGTGGAAAACATTGATACAGAAGCAGGTGATTTTAGAAATAATGATAAGTAGTACTCCGTACATTTTATACTCAAACAGTGTCAAGGTTACTGTATTTGTTTCCATAGGTCTATCTATTTGTTGTTTCCTGTTCTGCCAAGGTATGGGTTCCATTTTTATAGGGAACATAAAAGCTTTGATTCAGAACATCTACAAACACAAAAAGACAGTTTGGAGGAAAATATATACTCTTAACATTTTTTCTAAAAAGGACCTAGAAGCATAACACCCCTACCCGGTTCCGAAACTGGAACTGGACCATGTCCATGCCTACGACTTACCCTTATAGGATTGGAAAAATATAATTTTATGTTGGTAGAGGACAAGCTTGGTATTGAGCTCCCTATATTGGTGAAATTGATTCCGTGTAACTATTTACAAAAGCTGATCAGATCTTTTACTTCCCAAATAACCCATTCCAAGAATGCGTAAGTAGGGAGATTATTGTACAGTAAGCTCTGCACTGAGGCACCTCCTACTTCAAGCATCACCAAGGGAGTCTGATGTTTATGTGCTCTGCACACTTCTGTACACATGCCACTTCACAGTTTGTAGCAACAAGAAAGACTAGAAGAGGATTTTAGGGTTTTTAAAAACCTGTATTAGATATTTTCTTGATTGGAGTATATTAAATTGTGGGTATGGAAGTAACTTAGCATCATTATCTTCCTTTCAAACCGCATTTTATGATTACCTGCCTCATAGTTATCCCAACATATTTCCTATGACAAACTATCTAGACTTTGGATACCTTAATACACCTACCTAATAAAGCTACATTTACTTCCTTCCACACATTGCCTAATGGAGGTCAGTTTTAATTTTTCCTTGCCTAAACACAATTAGTAATTTAATTCTCACTATTCTATTATAGTTTTACGATTAGCTTGTATCAACACACCAGTATGGCTGTTTAAATGTTCATTATTTCGTTTAGGTTATTGTTGGCGGTGCTAGTGTTGCAGCATGTGTTGGAGGTGGTGCAGCGGCTGCTCCTGCTGGCGGTGCAGCAGCGGCTGAAGCTGCCCCTGCCGAGGAGAAGAAGGAAGTGATAGAAGACAGTGAGGAAGAATATGGACTCGGACTCTTTGACTAGATAGTTTCTATATTCTAAATATCTGCTGTGTTTGATGCACTGAATTTTGAAAATCACTATTTCCGCGCGAATTAAGTTTTTCAGACTCATATGTATGGATTATTTTCATGTTAAGTGTTTCTTGGGGTTAATTTTAGTTTCTCTATAACTCGCATGTGCTTTGTCACGGTCATATACTCTTAAATCTCTATTTAATCAACAACGTACAATGATGCGATGAAGTACTTCTTAAAAAAGAACCGCTCTGAAATCCGGAGGCTTTTATAATCCGTGTCTGGGTTTGGCACTTGTGGAAGAAGTTAATCACGTGATTTTACCTCAGTGGAACTTTGGGTGAAATTTACGTATAGTACTTTTCACTTTGGTCTCTAAACTTTATTTCATATCAAAGAAATATTTGAATTTTGGGAAACACTTCACGAATATTATCTCGATTTGGTTTTGCAAGAATTTTACATGTTTCTCTCTTGAAAGATTCTAGCTTGTACGTAGGTTATGAATTCCGTATGAAGAAACATTAACAGTGTTGAGTTCTTCTTTGCTGCACATAAGAATTAGTTTTTAAATTCTTTTAAAAAATAAAAATAAAAATGCTTATCTCAACACTAGGGAAATGCTTATTTGCATCATTTGTAGGTCCATGGTAGAATTTGCCAACAATGTTTGGTTCATTCATACTTGATGAGTTTAGCACTTTGAAGAGTTAAGAAATACTCTTTTCATCTTAAATTAAATGACATGTTTATTATTCATAGGTCAAATTTTATTTATTTTAATTTATTTTCGTTAGTGATTTTAATAAAATAATAAAGTCATGTTATCACTTGTTTTGTAAAACTTTGATGTCTAGATTGAGCTATGTTCAAAAACTTTCCTAAAGAAGAGAATAAGAATGAAAAATATAAAACAGTTGTACAATAAAAAACTGAAAACAGTTGTACAATAAGAGTGTATATGTTAAAACTATAAGTCATTGTGCGTAATAGTGTGTGAATTATGATCTGGAGTGCATGCATATGTTAAAAGGGATATGCTAGGGGTACACCAAAGGTGTACCCCAAATGTACACCACCCTCCTCTTTACCATTCATTTTATTTTATTTTTATTTTTTACTTTTTTTTTATTTTTTCTTGCTTTTTTGTGTGGTGATGGAGGGGGTGGGGGATGTTTGGGGTACACTTTTGGTGTACCCCTAGCATTTTCCATGTTAAAATTGTAATATGAGTCCTTTGTCTAATTGTGTGTTTCAAAAGAAGCACCATCCCTAAACTATTGCAAAACTAAAGATAGTTGAACAGATCAAAAACATTACACTAATATGCATGGATGAATAGATTAATTTGCTAAACATAAAGTGTAATGTGAGTATAACTTCAAAAGGAAACGCTGCTATTAAAATGAGTATGCAGTTTGCCCCTGAGAAATACTTTAAGACGAAAAGAATTTGTAACATAAAAAGCGTACCGAGTTAACCAAAGCTAACACTATTGCCTTATACGTTATTCTTCCATCAAATTCCGCACACTTTATTAGCAATAACAACAAATCTAGTATAATCCCAATTGACAAAAGGCATGACTACATTGTCATTTATATGTACTTGTGATAAAATACCATTTTGTAAATTATTTACGAGTGCAATTAAGAAGAAATTCAATATAATTATTTTCATGGTTCAATCAATCCAGACGTTTAGTAATACTGGTCCGTGAGTAGCTAGTCTATCTTGTATTATATGGAAATTACGCATCTGTGAGATCTATATACCAGAAGAGCTTCATAGGTTATTCATAGGAAACTTTTTTTAAATTTCCATTAAACTAATTATCATTGAATAAATTCTGTAATTAGCCCTTTATACATAGAGTATTTCATATTTAATAATCAATATCAAATACTGAGTCCTAGTGTATTTGTCCGGTTTGAATTTTTTGAATCAAACAATATGAATTTTGAAATTCAATTAAATAAAAATTGTAATGTATATTAATATAAAATTAATTTTATTAGGTTTATCTTGTTGAAAATTTTGAAAATTATGTTTCATTGTACTAGTATTCAATACAAAAAGAGAGCAAGTAAAATTTTAAAGTTTATTCAGTTTGACATAAATAAGTCAAATTGAACAAATACACTAAAATAGAGGTAGTATTACGTTCAAAGTCTTTTTATGAGTACCTTTCTAAGATAGTGTTAAATTAAAAGCTAAAAGTGTAATTTTACATCGATATTATGTCCAGTGACATATTCTAATGTCGGCTTGATGGACAATACAGCAATAATGACTATAAATGTGGCCTGGAATTTTGACCAAGCACGACATTTGACTATAGTTGCACTCACAAACGACACATCAACAAAAATCCGTAAAAAGATTATGTAATCATTTTGAAATTATACTTTTACTCCTCAATTTACACCAACATAACCAAAGATTTAAAAACACTCCATGGAAAAGAATCCTTAAAACCACAAACGTAGTATTTCATAATAGAAAACTAAATATAAAAACGGTCCGGTTCTAGTGACACTGGAAAACAGTGCCACTCCGGTGTCACTGGATTTTTGGGACACCTCCGGTGCTCCGTTCGTAAACTTGACGGTTCCTACCCCCTAACCCACCCCTAAACCCCCACCCTACCCCCACCCCTGCACCCCCACCCCATGTTATAAATCACAATTATAGAATTTACTTGTTTGTCATTAGATTTACCCAAAAATTTATTTTATCTAAAATAATCCAACAGTTAGGTGCTGTTTGGCAACTTCTGAATTGGTAAGTGCTGAACCAGTAAGAAATCTGAACCATTAAGTGCTGAATTAGTAAGAGGTCTGAACCATTAAGAGCTAGTATATTGCTTAACTATTCAGAGGCAAACGTCTGATCAATTCAGATAAGAGGTCTTAACCATTCAGACTCTGTATAATACTTAACCATTCAGAGGCAAATCTCTTAACCATTCAGCCATCTGAACCATTAAGAGGCTGAAACAAACAGTCTGAACCATTAAGTGCTGAACCATTCAGACATTTGAACCATTAAGAGGCTGAAACAAACAGCCCCTTAATGTTAGTCATGCGACAAAGAGTCCACGAGCATTGGAAGTTTTTCATGAAAAGGTTACTTTTGTCTCCAAGAACCACAGCCAAACACCTTGGCGCATTTCAATGAGTAGACTTATGCACAGATCGCCACTCTGTGTTTTTGCTTCTAAAACAACAAAGCTGACATCACTACTACTCATCATCCTTACAATACAAGAAGACAACCGAAGGCTTAACAAAGCAATAAGCATCTACATATCATTGGAACCAGGTGATGGGAGGAGATGCATTCTGGAGAGGCTGCGGCGGGATCATGCAGTACTGTTGTTGCCACTGCTGCAGCCCTTCATTTCCCAAAGCATCAATACCCTTTCCCTCCAGGGCTACGCCGTTGTCTTCAACCTCCATTGTTGCCCCTTCCGGTTCTTCAGCATCCATCATCATATCTGTAGTGTCAGTTTGAGATGAAACATCAGGTTCGCGTGTGGAGAACTGAGATGGCACCCAGGGAACTACTGCCCGGCACTCGTTGGAGTTGCTCGCTTCTAAAACTTGATCGGCTTCAGATTGCGCCATTGGATAAAATTGGCTTCGCCACGGGGCTTGATCTGGGAAAAGAGAAACACCATTCTTCTAAATAGTTTAGTTCATCCAGAGAACAAAGAACAAGGGAAGTGAATTACTCCACTACATATAAATGATACCACTAGCATGAGATAATGGTGGGAGGAGCATTAACACCCACATTCAAACAATCAAACACTGTTTTCAGAGGCAATATTTAGAAACAGATCCCTTTCTAGTAGTTCTCTTTCATGATGTTCAGCTAGTAATTTCTTTTTTAAAGTAACTCCCTTAACTACTCGTTAGGCTCACAAAATCTACCAAATTAATGCTGCATCACGAAATATCTATGACCATAAGTTCATAACCAGCTTCTTCAATCATATCCCATTCCCATTTTACTAACATCATGCATACAGGCAAAGTTACTAGGGTTAATCTCAATACAAAATATCAAGATCAACCAATTTTCAGCACGGATGAACACCATCGAAATCAGATTTTCAGCAAGGAAAATCAGCACTTACTTTTCAACCCAGACATGAACATAGGATCAATCTTGACAGATAAATTTTGAGGGGAGGGAAAGAGATGATTCTCCACTGGCTTGAAAAGCACAATAGCAGTCTCCTTGTTATAGGGTTCATTCGGTAATTCCTCAATCTCTACACCCCTCCCTCCATATCTTGTGAAGGACTGCCCACTGGATAATGGCTCAAATGCTATGGAAACATCTTGGCAATCTTCATGGTCTTCCAATATGGGTGGCAACTCGGCATCCTAAAACATTCCAGAATGTTCTGCTCAGCTAGGCTCTGGTTTTAGCAGGAGATAATTTCAACTAACTAGCTGATGGTTTATGAACAAATGGCTTTCCTAATTCCAGATATACAAAAATCATTGAAGTCAAAATTACCAGACGGCGGATTTTTCTAGCCGGGGCAGAGAGAGAAAAATCCGAGAACTCATCGTACACTTGCTCGAGGTCCTTCCTCTTCATCTTCAGTGGGCAACTATTCTCCATCTTCATCCTCTCAGGAACGATGTAAACCGAAATGAATTTATCCTTAAAGACGCAATTAGGTGAGCCGCGATTTCTTCAGAACCCTAACAATGACGGAGCAGGGATTCAATTTCGGTAAACTGTAACTCAATCGCGTGAATAAGGGAGTACGGGAAACAGCGTCGAATATTGAATCCAATTGAGGTGATGGAAATCTTATAGAGGGGATTCGGGTTCTTCATTGAACTAGAAGGATAATTTCTCCCTCTAGAATTCTCCAGAACATGTGAGGCAGACAGCACAACAGTGATAAGTAAGCGGAGTGAGAAAATGAATAAATTCCCAAAAATGATAGTCAATAAATAGGGAGTATAATTTTTTTCAAATTAATCTTTAACATTAATTATTTATCGAGATGATACTCATTAATTAAAATAATCATTTGCCAACCATCCAAAAATATATTTGGATGAAGTAGAAATTTAAAAGTAACTCTCTAACACACTGTCAAGTAGCCTCTTAGAGCTTGTTCTTTAGGACTGAAAAAAATAGCTCGATGTTGGAAGAAACTGGAAAAAACTAGATGGAACTGGAAGAAATTGGAAGGAACTAAAAGAAACTGGAAGAAATTGGAAAAAACTGGAAAAACGGGAAGGACTGTAAGAAACTGGAAAAACTTCAAAAAAATGGAAAAACTAAAAAAACTTTAAAAAAATTTATTTTAGTGTATTTTTATATTATTCTGATTCTAATTCTTGTTCTTATAAATTATTATTATTATTACTATTATATTATCAGTGAGGTTTTAGTGGGACCGGTGTCACTCCGGTGCCACTGACATTTTGGGGCACCTCCGATGCTCTGTTCGCAAAATTGACGGTTTCTATCCCCCCTAACCCACCCTCTAAACCCCCTACCATACCCCCGCCCCTGCACCCCTACCCCAACCCCGCCGTAAGCCCCCCACAAAAAAGTTGAACTAATAATTGTAATAATAATAATAATAATAATAATAATAATAATAATCACATTAAAAATATATCATTTTTAGAGGAATTAGTTGGGAAGTAGAAAGAGTTTCAAGAAAATGAGAATAGTTGAAAGAACTAAAAGAAACTGGAAGTTAAAAGTTTAAACCCTAAAGAACAGGCTCTTAGTAGTCTTGACCAGGTATACTAAATATAAATAATAAATACCTGGAGTATATCCGAAATATATATCCAAACTGAATAAATCCAAACCAAAATCAATCCAATCGGTCTTATTTCATGTTCTAATAAGGCCTATGTTTTGGTCCTATAATAGTATAATTCTTAAATGAGCAAAGAAAATGATTGAAATTTAACCATGTAAAAAATTAAACAAACTTAAATTAAGACAAAGGAAGTATGTGATACCTATTCTATAAATACAATTTTCTTATGTTGAAAAACCTAAAAGAAACAAATTTATTGAGAAAGAAAGATTGTGTTCGGAATGTTTTTTAAACATTCCATCATTCTAGGATTATAGGATTAAGCGTCATTTACCATGTCATAAATAAAACTTCATATTGAAGGTGATTAAACAAGTGAGGTGACAGGAGAGTAATATCATAAACATATGTAAATCGTTGGAGTGGCGTCATTTGTTGTATTGATGTAAAATAGACAATTTATTGGAGTAATGAAGGAAATTTTTGCATATAAATATATAAATATGAGCATAGTTTAACCTTACGAATAATAAATAAGAAAATTATAAAGGGACAGAGGAACTAGTTTTTAACTTAAATCTGTGTAGTGCTATTTTGTGTCGAATTAAGAAGTCTCATTGGGGGAGAGCAAGAGAATTATGGAAGAGTAGCTGAGCATGGGGTACATATTCGCATCAAGAAAATGAGCATACTGTTTTGCTGCTGCTGCCTTATTGGGAAGAGCGTCCGAAAGGAAATCAAATGGAGCTTGCTTGCCGGTGTCAACCAAGGGGTCCCATCTATAACCAGCTCGTTCTGGCAGGGTTACCGTGACCGGAAGATAACTTGCATTAAAGGCAACATAAATTTCTCCCTTCACTTGGTCAACCTGTGGCGCCATTGCATTTTTTTTATAGAAATGGCTTTGTTAATCGAAGGCAAAGAGGAACCGTAGGAAAAGTTTAATACATTACCAGTGTGAACGCTACAAAGCGACTAGATTCAGACCAGTCTGGCATCCCAGGAGCATGACCATGCCATTGCAGCCTCTCTGCCATTGGGAAATCGTCTAAGCCAAGTGACTCGGCTTCACTGCAAGATTCACACAGAAATGAGTAGTTCATGAAGGTACATCATTAAATAGGGAATCTGTGCATTATACACAGACACTTACGCACGGAACTTGGTAATGTGGCAGCAAAATCTGAAAAAATCAGTTGATGACTCATCCTTCTTGTCCCATCTGAAGTAGTTAATCTACATCCAGAGTGAGATTTAAAAGAAAAAGCATAGGAATTGCACCTGATGATTAAAAGACAATGCATCAAATTTCAATCTATTGATAAAAGGCAGTCATTACATAGTTATCATGGCAATATGCATTGTTGTTTCCTCCTTTTGTGTGACCATACTCATCACCCATATAGATCATTGGAACACCCTGAAGTGAAATAGCACAAAAGCAGAAAAGTTTAAAAATCAAAGAAAATATAAAGGCAGCAATAACATATTATGAACAAGCTTATAGAAACTTTAGTCAAAATGCTTTCATCTGTCAAATAGTACGAATTCATCACATGTAATATTCAGGTATTCAGGTGAGAAAAGAGCATGGCCAAAACGATGAACTGCAAGAGTTATTCAGCTTAAACATTCAACTCTAGCCAAATAATATTTACAAGCATATCATTTCTCCCAAACTCTACGTCCTATATCTATAATACTTGTATCCCATGTATAAAACAATGGCAATATCATTCATCTATTAATGCACTATTGATGTCATCGAGCTTTTATCAAGCCTCTTATAAGCACTATTAATACATACAGACAGCCAGCCACCTTAGCTTCAAGAAAGCCATGTTTGCATAATGTATTTATTTTATGGACTTCTAAAATAGTTTAAAGATACAAGAAATGAGCATTATTTATAATTCATCTAAAAATATATAAAATTAACTATACCTAAAACATATTTTCATCTTTAAAAATCAAGTACGGAGTAATTTTAATTTAACATGCTACAAACTATTTTTTCTATATTTGTCTTATTTCAACCAACTAAATCTAAGTATAAACTGTTACATAGTATATTAGAACACATTAACAAGTAGACATGATTACCGACATGTTGACCCTATGTTGACCAGGTCGTTGACCCAGTTCAATCGGTCCAACAGCCTAACCGGTTAGCCCTTGACCGACTTGCTGGTATGGTTCCATGTCCGGTTCGCTTTTCAGAACATTGGTTTATACTTACTTTCATATTTAGAAATGTATGGCTCACAACATTGTGGTCTCTTCTAAATAAATTTTGATCAGACTTTGTACATTTCACCACTTTTCACATGGGACACCTGAAGCAAGCTTTCACTTCATCTAGGCTACTTCAATACGATGAATAGCATCCCTATCCATGTCTCCATGAGCCTTATTGATGACTCTGAGGCACCGCAACTGTGCTGTTTAAGGCAATCCTCCACCTTATGACCTTACCACTCGGCCATATTGCCTAAAAGGGAAAAAAGAACTGTTTTTTTAATGGAGGGCTCTTCCTAAAAAACCTAGTTTCTTCAGCTTGGTTTGTATGGATTTTAGATAGCCTTTCAATTTATTTAGGGTATTTTAGCAAAACAACAATACACATTTCTTTCATATTCAAATAGGAAGGCTATAGGTTGCGTATAAATCTTCACTTCCGGTTCTAACTCAGTCATTACTCCGCTGAAACTACACTCAACATACTCACCCTTAGACCTACTCAACCTGGAACAATTTGACCACGAAGTCCACATCCACACCTCCAACCTATCATTGAATCCCTCACGTGTTGTGTAAAATGACTCAATCAGAAGTCAGAACAATATCATCCACAAAAAATATACACTAAGGTACCTTGCCCCATCACACATGTCCTTAACCGCTCGGGTGTATGCCAACAGCACCCATTAGTAATCCAAATACATCCACAGGACCTCTCTAGTATGTCATGCTTTTTGAAAAGATTCATTATTTTTTGGCTTTTGGGTATTGATGGAATAAAGCAAAATGACTCTTTAAACTGTCTGTGCTTCTTTCAAAAGTGAAGTAGCAGTAAGTCAATGCAACTTTCGACGCTCATCGTGGGTCATCCGGAAACAGCCACTCTATGTTATAAACATAGGGGTGAGGCTGCGTACATCTTACCCCCCCCCCATCCCGCAAGTGGCGGGAGCCTTTGAGGCACTGGGGTAATGTTGAGGTTGTTGCTTTTTTCAAGTTTATAAACACTATGTATAGGTCCCTCTTGTTATCCATATAGCACTCTATCACCCTTGCTATTTGAAGGAATTCACCCCCTTCCTGGCAAGTTGCGTGGTCGACCGACATGGCAAGAATTCGACTTGCTTTTTGGAAAAATTCATCCCCTTCCTCATCCGTGTCCCTATCATTCATTCCCGAGTCTCCATGGTGTGACTGAGTAATTTTATGCACCTATAACTAATACAGTTCTGAGATGCTCCTCCCCTTGTACAATAGGATCATCGTGCTCACCCTCCATTCTCCAGGAATTTTCACCGTCTTGAAAATAACATTACACAATCTGGGGACCCAGCTCATCGTTGCCCACAATCTTCCAAAACTCAACCAAGATCTCGTCAAGTCTCATTGCTCTACCCCCACCCCCTCTCATATTGTTAATGGCTTGGATCGCCCCCTCTCTAATTTACTGATAGCACCTTAAATCATGACGACTCTCATTCTCAGACTTCCCCAACTCGCCCATGAGGAGACTCCTTTCCCCTCCAACATTTAGAAGGCTATGGAAGTACGAATTCCATCTTATTCTAATATTCGCTGCATCCATCACTATCTTTCAATTATCGCCTTTCATGCACCTCACTTCATCTAAATCCCACACCTACCCCTCTCATACTTTTCTCAACCAAAACAATCTTGTATCCCCTACTTTCACATCTAGCTCCCTACAGGGTCATTTAGAGGTGGCATTCTTTGCAGCCCAAACCACCAACTTAGCTTCTTGCTGAAAATCTTATACCCCACTCGATTTATCCTCTTCTCCTCCTCATCAGTAATCACTACACTCTACGGGCTTCTTGTAAGCTATTTTTTGGGTTTGACTTTCACTTGTACTTCCCCGTTCTACCACAATCCCCTCTATTTTCATTTGCATTACCCTATGTGATTCTTAACACATCCCTGTTGGAGTTAGCAGTGAATGACAGCATAGTGTTAGCTTTCCCACTCGTTACCGAAGTGCCTTTCTCACATAACTTTGCAACCAGCTCCAAAATCTTATCTTTATTCAAGTATCTCCAGCGAATACAGGGTAAACCACCCGATGCTCTCTTATTCCTCTCTATCCTGATCGTGACATGCATGGTGCATCACCAATAACTTGTGTTGGGTTGTAAGATTCTCACTAAGGACAACATTAAAAGTCCTTGCAAAGCGCCCTCTCACACTTCCTCAAGAAGAAATAACCAGTTTACGACTTTGCCACCCGACTGCACAAAGTCACCAAGTGCTCTTTTTAAATCATTAAAGGATACATGCCCTATGTGCTTTAATAAACTTCAAAGTTTTGTTAATGATGTTTGACTAAAGTATCTTTCAATTCAATTTATTTAAATATTGATGCCAAATTAAAAAATATATTGATGGCTCCATTCACTATTTTTTGGCTTTGGGGTATGATGGAATAAAGCAAAATGACTCTTTAACCTCTTTGCGCTTCTTTCAATAGTGAAGTAGCAGTTAGCAGTGCAACTTTTGACGCTCATCATGGATCATCCGGAACAGTTGCTCACTGTTTTCAACATAGGGTCAGGCTGCATACATGACTGCATGTGGTTCTTGAGCCGGGGGTCTCTTTGGAAACAACCTCTCTACTTTCGAGTAGGGGTAAGGTCTGCATACACACACCTTCCCCAAACCGTACTTTTGTGGGATCCAACTTGGTTGTTGTTGTTGTGGTTATTAAAAACCAACATCAAAAGTTTTTAAAACAAAAGGTGACATAACTATCTTATTCTAACAAATGACTAAAGTAAATAAGGAAAGAAGATACAGTTTGACCATGTGAATATGGAAAATGAAGTTTATTTTGGGATAGAGGGAGTAAAACATTTGAAACTTTTTTTTTAAATAAATATTTTCCTTGGTAGAATATAATTCACAATGTTGAAGATGTTCTGTAATTTAACAAAAAAGACCAATTTTGAGAGCAAAAATAAGATGATTTACTAAACAAAATCATATATTCCTTGCCTCTAGCAATATGGCTCCATATTTGACCCAACACAGTTATTAAAAAGAGTGAAGTTGAATTATAATTGAAATTTATGGAAAGGAGAAATAATATAGACTAGAAAATTCCTTCCTTAAAAGCATGGTAGTCAAACTCTAGATTCTACGTAGGATCGATAAGCATAATGAGGATCGTAACATCGTAAGATCGTGACTCGGATCGTAAGATCCTACTATATATATATATATATATATATATATATATATATATATATATATATATATATATATATATATATATAAGCATAATGAGGATCGATAAGCATAATTGAGGATCGTAACATCGTGACTCAGATCGTAAGATCCTACTATATATATATATATATATATATATATATATATATATATATATATATATATATATAATGTTTTAAACTTTTAATTAAATTTTAATAAAACATAACATAAGTTCAAATTGGATCACAAATGACTTAAAACTTTATTCTTAGCAAGAGAAAAAAAACTGAAGGAAGGCTGATAAGCAGAGAGGTCTCTATTCCCAAATAAATAGAAGAATACTCTGTTTTCGATCGAAACAAAGGGAGATAAATAAACGGAGAAACTAAGCTGCTTTCCTATTGAAATAAATAAATAAATAGAAGAAGAAGATACGGTGCTTTCCTATTGAAATTGGGAATAAATAAAGGGAGATACTCTGTTTCCGATCGGAATTGTGAGTCGCAACAGATGCGACTTTCCAATTGCAATTCCAGGCGCGATTGAAAGGAGGTTTGAAGAGACGCTGTTTGGGCTTCGCAGACTCGGCGATTGAACCCGATCCTGCATTTCTGCGAGTCGAATCGTCGATCGAGACGATTCCATGGAATTTGCGATTCTGCAGCCGTCTCGGATCGGTAAGGTACCGGCAATCCTCAGAATCGTAGACTCGTACGAGTCAACTCGCGAGTTTGACTACCATGCTTAAAAGTAAAGTGAAAAATTATTTTTGGAATAACTAAAAGGAATATGGAACCTTTAAAGGAGGTAGAACGAATATTCGACATGATAGGAAAACATTAACAATGAATTTGCACACAAAACAAGAAAACATTACACAAATAATTCACTTGAAAATTATTAGTGACCACAAATAGCTAGGCAGAAATAATTGTTGAACCTTAGAGGGTTGAGTGAATCTTACTTGTGAAACCATTAGGCACAAGAAGAAATTCCGCATTTGTCTTTTCCTCAGTTTCTTCACCGAGATACTTGCAAACTCTCCCTCCTGAATAACATCTATGTGAATCAATAGTGCATATTTCCGCTATATTCTTTTTCTTTTTATATATTATTGGTTGGCCCACATAATATAGTTATCAAAGGAACAAGGCATGCTAAAAAACCATCCATGCATTCAAACACCAGTCTTAAATGGAGTATATTTTTTAGAGACCCTGACAGTGCTCCAATTTTAAGCACATTCTAATCATTACCATCTAAGTCGGAGATGTCAATGGTCAGCAACATTACAGGACTCATTATAAACTAGTAGAATGTTTAGTTTCATATATTGTTCAATAATGTCTTTGTCAAAAATCCAACAAGGATACCTATCTTCACTCAAGTACATTATATTATACAACCTCTGCCCCAAAATGAACTTTACACTTTCCTTTGTCATCCGTCCCAAAATATATTTTATAGTTCTCCACTTCCCCTTTTAGAAAATGAATATGTGGCTCATATCATTTCTCTCTCTTCTAAATAAATTTCAACCACACACTTTTCACTTTCCACCAATCACCATACACATTTTACTTTCCAACACTTTTCTTCAACTCAATGAAGTCGAACTGTCAAGTTCATTTGGGACAGAGAGATTATCTTCTATTTGGGTTTGAACTTTGTGCAAAAGAAAGGAGGTTCATTACCTGGCCACAGTTCCAACTATTATTGTGATTCTCCCCATCTTTGTTCTCTTCTCCATTAGCCATGTTATGTTTATCATTATAAGTCACTAGATCGGCCAAAGAGAACCCATCGTGCGCGCACACAAAATTTATACTGTTCCAAGGTTTTCTTCCACCCTCCTTGTAAACAAAAAGCAAAACAGTTAAAGCCATTGATTAACAGATTTCACAATTTATAGATGCTGATGAAAAGCATATAACCACAAACATACCTGGTATAAATTTGGGCTTCCACAAAGGCATTCGGCAAATGCCCCTGAAAACCCATCGGTGCCTTTTATGAATTGCCGCACTATGTCACGGTACTGAAACAAATTATAAGAAAACTTGTAAGTTGTAATTATTGAAGAGAACATGATTATCTACTTTTAGAGTATGGAAAGGCTGTCATCAGCAATCAATAGATAATAAAGTAACTCACGTTGAATCTCCTTTAATTAATCATTCATGAAATGGAAAAAAAGGTATAGAGAGGCATATGGGATATGAATTGATGAAGCTAAATAAATCATGAGTACAAGATGGAAACAGTATTCAATCTGACCTTCCCATTCCATTCTGACCAGATACCCCAATGAGGAAATGCTCCAACTTGGTACAGGCCTCCACAATCCCATGCTTCAGCTATAAGCTGTTTATATGATTGATATTTTAGTTGGCAAGCTCGTTAGTAAGAACTACCATAGTGCAGTAATACAAGTAATGATTGTAGTTACTGAGTACAAGTTCAAAACACAAAACAAAAGCAGAATGGTAAGAAAGTCCCTGGATATAACTAATTAACTATTGATAGATTTCTACATGATAAGATGTGCATACATAAGCACAAACTAAATTGTTGAGTAAGAAAAGAGATTGTATATCACACTTGTATGGGAGATACAGGCATACAGCCCTTGATTATATAGGCATAATAGAGAGCAAAAATAGTGGAGTGTGATTCCGGGCGACACAAAACCGTGCACCACAAAACCATATACCGTGACTCTCCTATGACTATTCTAAATATAGTTCAGCATAGATTCTACCAAAATACTTTGTTCATTACACGTCGTTAAGATATGGTTCATCTGTCAAAAATTCAGTATACTCTTGGGCTCCGTTTGCAAACCAGGAAAGTGAGTTCTGGAAGTCATTTTCCTGGTTCTCTGCTGTTTGGTAACCTCTGAAAAAGATAGTCAATGGAATTTAGGGCTCTTGTTAATGGAAAGTCGCCTCTACAATCCGGAAATTGACTTCCCCTTTAGAATTCCGAAAGTCATTTTCCTTTTTGTTGCCCGCTCTCCTTCACCGTATCTTATTGGCTTCTCCAGTTCTTCACCATCTTTCTTCCTCTCCTCTTCTCCATCGTTCTCTGATAAATCGTTCTCATCTCTCTATCCGTCTGCTCTTCGCTACTCTGCTCTGTTGGCCGCCAGTCTACTCTTCACTCAGGTATTCTCCCTTAGCCTTGAACATCTTGTATCTTCACCGGAATAGGTAGGTACCCTCTTTCTCTTCTCTTTAATTGGTTAAGTCTTCCAATAATTTTCAGCACATTTTTTCTGCTATTGATTCATTTTTGTTGATTTTTCAAAAAAATAAAAAATTAATTTCTGCCAGGGTTTCTGTATGATTTTTGCTTGAATCTTGCTGCATTTTACCTTGAATATCTCCTCTCTCTGTAAGAACTTTCACTTCATTTTTATGTTAAAAAAATGTGAATTGTAATGGTAAATTTTGTTGTTTTATGTATTTGGAGCCGTTTGAGAGGTTTGGTAGTTGTTTCATTGATTCCAGAAGCATTCTGATATAGGGAAAATCAGAACTCTGGTTTTTAATGAGTTTGAACATCTTTGTTTATTCTGGTGAATACCAAGGGTTAAAGCTAGATGTACAAAGTCATTTTTCAGATATTCATTTTCTGGAAATGAATCAAACAGGAACAGATAGTTTTCAGACTTTCAACCAAACATCGGAAAAGGAAAATGACTTTCAGGAAAGTAAGTCATTTTCGAAGAAAAGGATGGAGGATTTAAGTTCCAGTTCCCAAGAAGAACAAATAAGGACTTGGAATACCTTTACTCCACTTAGTATTGGATCGCTGCTAATCATATCAATTAATGGTGGGGTAGAGAGAGGAGATCCTGTGGTAAGCATATCACCTTCAACTGAATTTCCATAAACATTAACAGCATCCCATTGACTGAAAGCATAAAAGAAAATTGTCTTTTCTCCATATTTTGATTAATGTAAAAAAGAAATAACCTTTCTATCATATGAACAGCATTACAGTAACATAAATGTAAACTTAATGTTTCAGTCACCTGCTACTCCTTGTTAGGATGGAAGCAAGGTCAAAGCGGAAGCCATCAACATGCATTTCTACAACCCAGTACCTGTGAACGGGCCAGGTTATAGTTTTTCATGATCAGGTTATATTTTACCACAAAATAACCCAGGTGATGTCAATAAGCATGGAGTAAGACTGTAAGAGACATCTAATGGCACTGTGTATACTTTATTTGACAAAAGAAAAATAAAGAACTAAAGATATTTAAAAAAACAGCACAAGCACGTCCAATTCCATCATAATTTCACTCTTTTGCACTACGAAAACTGATAAATATTACGTGTACAATAAGTTAAATTGCATGTTGTGACATACATAATATGTAGAATACTCTGTGTAATAATGACACCACACAAATTAATATTATCACACCAGTAATCCAGTACCAAGCGTCTTCCCCGTATTACACTCGTGTATCACCGCAGAATTAAATTAGAAAGCAATAGTACAATTAAGTCAACAAGTAAGTTTGCTGGACTCATAATTAATGTTGGAACATATAAGGATGATTGTGGGAGAGCCTGATACCTGTTGCTGGTGTTTAAAGACAGTCGGGAAGAGTGATGAGTGGTAAGTGTAGAGGTCGTGGCATAGTTGACAAAAGATAGGAGGTACGATCGAGGGCACCGGAGTCAAAGACCCATACATCGGAAGCATTAGAAACACATGTCATAGACAATTCCTGTCAAATGACAGATACTTCCTAATTTTGATTATCCACAAATTCTGTTGGTGAGAGTACAACTGGAGGTGGATATTAATTGTTTAATGGACATGGAGGTCTTTCTTGAAGACCCCATCATTTATCCCTAGTGTGATCAATTCGACAACAAGAATCATATTTTGGGAGATTCTGGTTTTGAATTCCAACTAATAAGGACTGGAGGTCATTAGAGAAGTTTAAGATGTGCTAAATAATTAGATTTATATTCCGGACAGAATGGTCGCCAGAGGCTGGCACACAGCGGCAGAGACAACGGCAGAAGGTGGTGCAGGTGCGACGACGGGCTGGGGCCTGTGAAATTGCGTTGGAACTGCCTGGCGGGTGGTGGTTGTGTCATAAACAGAGGCCAAAATCAAAGCAGATCTGAGGAGGAACAAAACAAACTTTCTTTCAAAGGTGGCGACATAGAAGATGGCTAATGATGGTGTTGGTGAAGAACTATTGGCAAAGAGGGAAATAATAATCGCTCGCTGGAAAATGTCGTCAACAAAGTTGTCAAAAAAGAGTATGACTCCCACACCATGTGAAATGCTATGATCTGATAGTAAGGAGAAGAAAGTCTATTGTTTCACACAATTGATCAAGAATACAAGGATATAAATAAGAAGAACAAGCTGACTTATGTAATCCTATGACTGTAGAAGATTCTGCAGTAACAAACTTAAAGATGAATGGAGTTGGTGTGATTTTACTAAGTGTGAAAGCATAGAGGACGTGAGATTTTCTCTAAGGAGAGCTTCTTAAAAAACAAAGCATAAGAAAAAATTCAAAGGAGAAGGGAAAAATAAAATAAAATAATACAGCTTCTAAATATAAACTTGTTGATCAAGAAGCACATAAAGATGCTTATGTTGATTTTATTGAGTTTTTATTGAGAAAATTGACTTGGGAGTTACTTCAGATGGAGAATCTGAAGCCAATTCACGTTACTTTTTATGCAAAATTGGTGCTTCATTATGTTATGAAACTTAAGTATAACATTGAAGTTAGTACTTTCACGTTGCTTTTTAGGAAAAAGTGACTTTTCAGTTTTCACTTTGTGCTTCAAACTAAAGCTACATTTGCTTTTCATGTTGCTTTGGTGCTCTCATCACTTAAAAAATCTTAGCACCAATTGAGTGTATGGTCGAGACCCACCATAGTACCATACATATTTGTATTTTGTCAATATTCTATATTTCATCTCATTTCTACATATGGGATGTACGTTCTGATGATGAAAATGATGATGACGATGACACAATCATGGGAAAGAAGGTATTGTGAAAAGCAGACCTCAAGCAATCCAATATAAATTGGCGTACTATTGTATGGTTACAATTGAAGGTGTTTCCACAGCCAGAATAATTGTAGAACTCTCCCTACATGCTCAATAAAAAAGGTTACATGAAAAATGTGAGTTCACAAACTCAAAAACAAAAATAATACAATAAACAATTCCACAAGATTTGTTATTTACAAAGCTTACAACTTTACATATATTGCCTTTACATTAACACCACATGGTCCCAAATTATCATGCATGTTTTCCTTTTTGGTCCATCTCAATTCATTTTGCACAATTTTATTACGGAGTAATATAAAACATTATGTGGTTCATATTATTTCCCTCTCCTCCGTATAAAGCTCAACCATACAGTTTTTACTTTTTGAGTCTACTTGCCCTTATTTTATTCAACAAAGCAAAAAAGTAGATCTTTTCACGCAAAAAAAAAAAGCTAAAGAGATATCTTAATAAGAAAAACAACCAGCCCAGTACAGCCACACGTAGGGTCTTGGGGGTAGTGTACGCAGACTTTACCCCTACCTAAAGACTGTAGAGAGGTCATCTCCAAAAGGCCTTTAGCTTAAGCACAAAAGATTAATATTAGTGTAGCTCAATAGATAAAAGTAAACAAAAACGAGAGGACAAGATAAAAGAGAAGCACATTCCAACACTTAATAGTTTGCTCTCAATTTTTTCAAGATGGATGTTGAGAAACACGTGAAAAGGAGAAAATTGATAGAACCTAAAATCTGAAATATTCTAGGGCACACAATGTTTCTGTTAATGGAAGTTTACATTGTGATCTCCTAGAACTAGAAAAAGTTCATATTAATATTTAATATAACATAAAAATAAATAAATAAGTCCAAATTATAATAGATCTATCTGAATGAACTTCTACAGGCCATGTCAAATCAGGTTTTCATTTATTAGAAATTATGAAAAACTTAAATAATGAAAACCACCCTTGTACGGTCGAGACTATAGAAAACTAGTTTGCAACGCGCATACACTTTACAAAAACCTAAAAATGAGTTTGTATGACAAAAACATAGATAAAAACACTAAGGGTCTGTTCATTTGGGTTGGAAAAGTTAATTTCCAACGTTTTCCAATTCCTTCCAACTTCTTTCAATTTCTCCCAACTTTTTCTAGTTTCTTCCAAGTTCCAACTCCTTCCAGTTTTTTCCAACGACTAAAAAAAGTATTTACATATGATGAAAATACAATAACATCATATATCCAAATTTATAACATACCACCTCAAACGCAGATAAATATGAACTCTTTTTTATCCCAAAATAGTTTTCTTACATATTTATTTGGGTGTATTTAATTGAGTGATTCTTTTAACACTTTATTTTTTCCAATACTTTCCAACTTCCAGTTTCTTCCAACTCCTTCCACTTTCTTCCAACTCCTTCCAGTTTCTTCCAACTTCTTCCAATTTCTTCTAACATCCAACTCTGTTTTTACAACCCAAACAAACAGAGCCTAAAAGATCAGTATTCAGGGATAAATACCTTGGGTGCAAGCATATAAAAGATACTGTTGTCGACACCTCTAAACGAGAACACGGGACCATTCTCATTCCCTTCCGCAGTATGATTGAAAACCACATCCATGATTACCTGGTGGTGTATAAGTAGATGAGTTTAAAATAAAAAAATACAAATTAATGAAATATGAGTAAAGGGAGTCTTTCACCTCAATTCCCCTTCTATGGGCCTCCCTAACAAGATATTTGAACTCTCGTATGGAACCAAGACCAGATTTGTCCCTCCCAAGAGATGAATACCTTTCCATCGGAGAAAAGAAATTGATAGTCGAATAGCCCCAAAAGTTTAACCTAAACAAATAAAATGTCCATGACAACACAATGAACATTCCAGGCAAATAATAAGTTGAAAGGTAAAAATAACTACTATCAAATTAGCAATAAAAAAATCTTTAGAAAAATTTCAACCAAACCATTTGTGGTAATAAATGGAGTAATACCAACTCTTAGGGTGTGTTTGGTGAGTTTCGGAGATGTGATAAGATATGGGTTTTGAAATTTGAGAGAAAGAATATGGGTTCTGAAATCTGAAATAAAAGTGTTTGGAGAAAACAGAAAGAAAATGAAATCACAGCTGTTTGGTGAGCAATTAAAAAAATCAAATTCTAAATTTCATGCCTATTATAAAAAAAGAGAAAGGAAAGGTAAAATTATAAAAAGAGGAAGAAAGAAAAAGAAACATGATTTAGACGAACACAAACAGTACAATATAAAGAAAATTGAGAGCGGTTGAATCCAGATTCTGGACACTTGAAAATTGCGGACGAAAAATACAAAGAGAAGAGAGCTGCTGAAGACAGAGCCGTCGGCAGTGCTAGAGACAGAGCCACCACCGCCTCCTATGCCGCCGTTGGAGACTGAGACGCCGCCACTGGAGACCTCCGACAGGCTGCCGTCATTGCTGCTCCAAATTTTTGAATAGCAGAATAGGTGAAGCTGAAATTATCCACTTCCAATATTGAACTCGGCTATTTTATCAAGATATCAAAACCTGCTTATGTGGCGAATTTTCATGTCTCCAGATTTGAAAGTTGAATCCTTTTTTGCTCACCAATAATTTCAGAAACTCAATATCAGATACTCTGTATATCAAAACCCATATCGGGTATCTTCACCAAACACCCCCTTACTAGAAATGTTGATCAGACTACATAGCATCAAAAGAAGACGAAACACGGCTTTCATTTTCTGACTGTCCTTACACTGTTCTTGGCTCCAGATTACATGTCCTTGATTGATCTAATATACGTGTTGGTTGGCTCCATTGTACTTAATATCCCAGGTTAGATAAACTATTAATATCACGGTGGAACAATTAACATCATTATATCACAAAGGATGGTGATGTTACACTTTTGTATTTCATCTCTACCCCAGGCAAATAAAAAGTCCTTGCTCTGGTTTTTTAAGTCAATGCTGTGTTCGTCTTAAACCTCTGACTCCCAGATCTGTATTAGTCTGAATTTAGTCTGGAATGTACATTTCATATTCTTTTTTTTCTTTTCTCCTCCCCTCTTTGTATCTTAAGTGTTGTGGTGACATAACAGACAAAATTACAACTTACACCCAACCCTAAAACCACTTCATGAAATGGTAAAGTGAAGTTGTATAAGTAACTGCTTTGGAAGATGTGTAGCCTTACTTATAGTCACCTAGGACAGAATTATAGCTATAATACTCCAGCTCATTAAATTCATGACATGGCATTAGCTCTATACAGTTGACACCCAGTTCCTGCAACATTTACAAAAGACCTGAAAAAGTTAAGACAAAACTGAAGTGTTAGAGAATAATAAAACATATAATGACAGAATGGATGTTGAGAAAAACATTTTGTGTCCAACATTATTGGAAACTTAATTCCAACTACTTGGGACTTGGGGTAGGTAGCAAGAAATCTATAGATCCAATTAATTGAATAAAATTAGGTAACACCACAAGTTCATGCATAGTAGAAGAAGAAGAAGATAGTTGCAATGAGTCCCCAAATGTTCATTAATTATAAGAGTATCTTTTTGATGAAGAATAGCAACCAAACAAATTGAATACGCAGTGCTCTCAAATCTATAAATGGTTCTCTGTATAGTGTACACCGCACGTGATTTTAGTGGAGATGTGTTCTTAGTGAATGGCCATGCCTTAGATGATAAAATGTATAATTTCATTCTCCATTTTCTGGCAGTTATACCTGATTTCAGTATAGCAGTGCCTGAACAAAATTACAATTATTGAACAATCCTTATGGTGGCCTATACAATTAGATCTAACAAAATGGAAATTGTAGGATAGTTCAATGACAAGATTTATTTTGTGTAAACATCTATCCTTTCAAAAGTCATAAGGCCAACAACCAAGTAAGCAATGAACTGCAATCGTTCAAAAAACTTTGATTTATTCTACATTCTAAACTTTTCACAGTTTTAAGCATGTTATGAAAAGGCATAATTATTCATTCATCACCTGTAGTAGTGAGTCGGTTATCATGCTCAAGGTTAAGATTAGACTAAGCTCCCCCCCCCCAACATAAAAGAAACCCACATGTTGAACAATCCAACCTATACTATTAAATTTTAGAAATTGGTAAATGTTGGTTAGTTTGATAATAACAAGATTAATTTTGTGAAAACAGCTATCCTTATCACAAGTCATAAGACTCAAGCCTAAGTAAACAATAAAACATCCAATCATTCAGATATCTTTGATTTATTTATTTATGTTCTTATATCTTCACAGCTGTAAGCATGTTATTAAATGGTATATTTATTCATTCAGCAGGTTGTAGAAGTAGCGAGTTGATTGTTTTGCTCAAGTTCAAGATGAGAATAATCTCCCTCCCCCACATAAAAGAAACCCAAAGTCACCCCCACCACGAGAGATTGGTAATTCCACCAATTGCAATTAATTCTAAATGCTAATTCCCATCCAACTTAAACATAGGACTGTTAGAGTCTGTTCTCTTCAACTTATTCTTATTACTTATTACTTATTCTTATTGGAATCAGATGAGATCAGATCAGAAATAGATTTAAATATAATACATTCATATCAGATCAATTCGAATCACACCAAATCAGATCTCAACTTATTCCAATGTGAAGAGAACAAGCCCTTAATCCAATCTAACAATCTATCCACCTATAATCCCCACAACCCTAGGATGTAGTTTTCCCCGTCCTTATGTTTGACCAAAAGTAATATCAATGAAATTATTTTCTGTCCATGACAAAACAAAGTTACTTAGACAACTATACTGAGATTGTTAGATATGTACCTTCAAGTGATCCAGTTTCTCCACAACACCACGGTACGTACCAGGAAATTCTGTTCCACTTGACTTGTGCTTTGTAAATCCTCGAACATGCATTTCATATATTACTAGATGTCTTTGTGGAAACTTTAATGGTAGATCCCCTTCCCAATCAAACTAAATCAAAGTCAGAGAAAAAGTAGATTGATAAAAAGGGTGTACCAGATGTGCCAAAACTCTAGCATAAGCTGAAAAAAACTACTCCTATCCCAGTACTTATACAAGTATATCTTTTGTATACGATGTTTGACTGAAGCTATATTCAATTCAAACTATTCTAAAATTTATATACGGAGTATTTAAAAACTACATCAAACAGTTTTACAAAACAAGACACTTTACAAATCAAGACATTACTTGGTTACGGAGTTTTATTTTATCAAAATATCAAAGAATATATATAAGGAAAGAAAATGTGATTTGACCATGTAATAAGTGTTTATGAGCACTGATATGGAACAGAGGGAAAAATAACCAAAAATAACACTTGAGAAATGTAACTCTTGAATTAATTTTAAATGTGCATTGCCTATAAATAATAAACTAGTTTTCATATATAGGAATTAATGTGATAATTTTTAACATAAGTAAATTTCCAAAATTACACTCCTTTTATTCAACCACACTAAACTAGATTGTCAAATATTACAATCTACTTCATACCTAAATTTTTTCATTGCATGTTTAGATCTCATCTTCCATAATCTCAAATGGAGCCAAAGATTCACTATTTTTTTGGCTTTGGGGTATGATGGAATAAAGCAAAATGGTTCTTCAAATTGTCTGCACTTCTTTTATAGTGAAGTAGCAGTCAGTCAATGAAACTCTCGACGCTCATCATGGGTCATCTGAAAATAGTCGCTCTATTTTTTAAACATAAAGGTCCGGTTGCGTACATTTGACCCCTCTTACCCTGCAATGGGTGGGAGCCTTTAAGGCACTGGGTAATGTTGTTGTTGTATGTTTTAGATCTCATCTAATAACATCACTGATAGGAGCAGGACGGTATTATGAAAAATGAAAGATAGAAACTGAAGAATGAATTCTCTCCTAACCCTCTCACAATAAGAATCTCACTGAGAAGAGGTAATAGAAGCCAAGGAGTATCTCCAATGCTATGAAATATATTGATAAACTGATATCCTTCCACGAGGATGGACTAGCATATTTATAATGCTGGAATACAAGAAAATAACCAAATATCCCTACTTTTTAGGCACTAACAGAAAGATAAGACTAACTGACCATGACAGCAAGAGTGGACCTATTATTGTGCTAACAGATGCCAATTATTGTGCTAACAGAATGGAAACACATTTGATAATAAAAGAATTAAACTCAGTCAAACTTAAGCCCTCTTTTTACGCCTCTGATAAGTCCTGATTGGTTTGGGATTTGTATCAATACTCTCCCCCTGAAAAACCGACTTGTCCTCAAGGCGAAACTCAGGAAACTGTTGCTATAGAAGATCATAATCCTCCCAGCTTGCTTCCTCCACGGGTCTGGACTTCCACTGAATCAGGAGCTCCAGGTGGGCTGCTTTCCAACGGTGTGCTAGCACTTGGGCGGGTTCTAAGAGCATCACAAAGTCATCTGAAAGGGGTAAATCTGCAGGTGGGTCTGTAGCCGAGCATCCATGAGCTGGACGGAGCAGTGAGACGTGGAAGACTGGGTGAATTCTTGCTGATGGAGGAAGTTCAAGTTCGTAAGCAACCGGGCCCACCTTACGCAAGACCTTATATGGACCAAAGAACCTTGGAGAAAGCTTAGTATACTTTCGAGGAGCAAGTGAGTGTTGCTTGAAAGGCTGGATTCGAAGGAAGACATCATCACCCTCCTTGAAGGTGAGTTCACGCCGATTCTGATCTGCATAAGACTTCATTCGATCTTGAGCTTTCTTCAGGTTGTCTCGAAGTAAACGAAGCATGTGATCTCTTGTTTCGAGCTGATCTGCTAGTTCAGCAATGTTTGTTTCCCCCTTAGTAAAGGGATGTAATGGAGGTGGGTCCCTGCCATACACAATTCTGAAGGGTGTTGTGTTGGCAGAAGAATGAAAGCTAGTGTTGAATGAGTATTCAGCCCAACACAAGAATTTACTCCAAGTACGCGGCTGTTCATGTGCAAAACAGCGCAGATATGCTTCAAGACAACGGTTAACAACCTCTGTTTGTCCATCTGTTTGAGGGTGATAAGCAGTACTCATCCTCAGACGTGTTTGGCTCAACTTAAATAGTTCCTGCCAAAAAGCGCTTAGGAAAAGGGGATCTCGATCTGAGATGATGGAGCGGGGCATACCATGCAACTTGATGACATGTTCACAAAAGCATGCGGCAACAGTTTTGGCAGAATAAGGATGAGATAGTGCAATAAAATGGCAATATTTACTCAACCTGTCAACCACCACCGCAACAGTGTCAAAATTTCCAGATTTAGGTAAACCCACAATAAAATCAATAGATATATCTTCCCAAATCTGTTCGGGGGCAGGTATATGTTGTAACAATCCAGCAGGAGAAAGAGCTTTATATTTACTTTTCTGACAAATAAAGCATTGTTGAACCAACCGCTTGACATCCAGCTTCATGCGAGGCCAGTACACAGTGTTTGAGAGGCGTTTAAGAGTTTTCAAGAATCCACCATGACCACCACAAGGGGTGTTGTGAGCCTCTTCGAGTAGCTTAGCACGCAAGGATGAACTCTCAGGAATTACCAAGCGCCCATTGAAATACAGTCGTTGTTCCACTAGAGTATAGCCCGGCCTGGACGTTGTGTTCTCCTTTAAATTTTGAATGATTGTTGCTGTGAAGGGATCTGCCAATAGTGCTTCTTCCAATCCGAGAAAGTCAATAGGCAAAGGTATTACCAAATGGAGAAAATCTGCATGTTGGGGCCGACGAGAAAGTGCGTCTGCACCAATATTTTCTTTTCCAGCCTTGTAGACGATAGAAAAGTTGAATGGTAGTAACTTAAGAATGAGACGCTGTTGTGTATTAGTGAGCACCCGTTGCTCCAAAAGATGTTTGAGGCTGTGATGATCGGTCCTTACTGTAAAACGACGCCCTAACAAGTAATGGCGCCATTTTTGTAGTGATAACACAAGTGCTAGCAGCTCCCGATCATAGGCAGATTTGTATCTATTTGAGAAAGAGAACCCTTTACTGTAGAATGCAATTGGGTGATCCTGTTGTAACAAAATAGCACCGATTCCTTCCATTGAGGCATCACATTCCACAACAAATTCAGAATCAAAGTCGGGGAGCCTCAGAACTGGTGCTGAAACTAGCGCGTGTTTAAGCTTCTCAAAAGCATTCTGTGCTGTTACAGACCAACAAAATGCATCCTTCTTGGTAAGGTCAGTAAGGGGACGAGCAATCATA